TATGTTACTATGGAAGAATTTCTTCTTGCAAACAGTCTTGTAATTGCCTTCCATTTTAGTACTTGCCACATTGCTTTATAATGTCTCCCCACTTTAGTTTCTCATCTCCTTAATGGCAGTTATATTTATTCTTTGGAGTATTCAGAGTCTCCATCARTATCAGACAGTACTAACAGATGCTCAATAAACCAGCACAAAACGTGGAATACCTTGAAAGATGTGTCTTTCAAAAGGRTATAACAAATTTCTTTCTTGTAGTAGAGTTTGACTGAATAACAGAAGTCCAGAGATGGTTTTACAATAGTTACAGGATATGTATTTTAATATTTGCTTCTTCATACTGTTAGCTCTATTGCAATGAGGAGTTAAATTTGTTTTCAAGGAAAATTGGTATGATATTGACTCTGATACAAAACAATAGTTGTTAGTTTTATTTACCATTTAATTTTTAAATGTCCTACTTGAAAACATGCAATTAATTGAGTTTCTACCTTAACATTTTATTTATGCAAATATTATTTTGGGAAAATGTGTATCACTGACTTAATGCTAATATGTCATTTTTATGAGTGTAATTTAATCATTGTTTAATTTATTTTCTGGACACAGCTTCCTCCTCTTCAGAAATATCTGGTAGGCAACTACTTTTTAATAAAACAAATGTTACCTTTAAAACTTTTAATTTGGTTGTTTGCGAGTTTTTATTCTCTTCTTTTAGTATTTTTATTTAGCATATTGTTAATAAAATACTTTGGTTGGTGAAGGAAATGCTTTGTTTAATGTTGGATTTTATATATTTATACAGATATTGTAGTTTTTTTATGTGATGATGTTTTATAAATGATAAGTACCGTACCATGAAGCAGAGGAAGTTGTACCAAGTAGCAGAAGGTAGATTATTACACACCACTTACCTAGTGAGATTATCCAAACTAATGAATATTTAAAAAAAATGTCCATATATTATTATAAATTTTGAGTGAAATAGCTAACATTTTATTTGGGGTTTGCTTTAAGAAGTTTTTATTATATTTTTTTCTATTTTCAGTTTGTTTCCTTTCTATTTTTCTGACATACATTGAATAAAGTTGAATAGTGTTGTGCTTTTATTATAAAAAGGCCATAAAGAGGGAAGTAAAATTTATCACATTACTAAGAGACCAGAGCCTTCAACATCTAGAGTAGTTGTCATCTGCATAGTAATACACTTATAAATTCTTCATATATAAAAGATAACCTCTTTTAAGAGTTAAATAATGGGACACTATAACTCACTACATATTTTTGTTTTGATAAGAAGTTATCTAGCATATTTCACACAGTATTGCAAAATGCTAATAAATTTGCTGAGTGTTATTAAACATTCATTGTAGAATTATCTGAATAAAAGATAAAGTTGTACCACACTTGAATTTTTAGTTAATTTTCTTAATGTTTAAAATGAACTTTGTAAGCCAGGTTCAATGACAACTGTAATCCCAAGGCCTCAGGAGCCTGAGGCAGGAGGATTTCAAATTCAGCCAATTTACAATCTCAGCAATTTAGTGAGACCCTATCTCAAAATAGAAATAAAAGGACTGGGGATGAAGCTTAGTTGTAAAGCACCCCTGGGTCCAATCCCCAGTTTWAAAAAAAAATAGAATGAATTTTGTAATCTGATTTTTAACTATGACCTGTGTGTAAACACACAAAAATATTGTGAAAAGCAAGGAGAGGTAAGAATTAAGTTGTGGATTTTGGACTTGTGGAAATGCATATAAATATTTGTTTCTTCTTCCTTCACCTCATGAATATGGGTGAATATTCTTACAAGCACAGGAACATTCACCTGAGTGAACATATAGGTTCCTTTGGCAAGCTTATCACTTTCAGAATGCAATGATGCAAACTGAAGAGAAAATTAATTTATTTGGAAAACAATTATAATTGTAAAAGCAAAATAATGAATTGAGTTARTTTTTGGTGTGTCCTTACTTTTGTAATACCTAGTTTGCCCCATTATTAACCAATACAGAATAAAATATATTTTCAGAAAAACCTTTGAGGTACTTTTTCCTAAGGAGAAGTATTAATTACTGTAAGATGCTTTTGTTGGTAGGTACCCATGAACACACAGATAAATATTAGAGCCGATATTCTATCTATGTCTCCAAAAACTGTGGCTGTTTCAGGCTATCACAGTGGTTTAAGTGATTAACTATAGATAAGGCTTATATATTAGAACATAAGCAAACTAAAAAATTGAGAACCTCAAAACATATGCTTTTAAAGGAACTCTGGATTAATTGTGATATAGTACAGTGTTTGAGTCTGGCTGTCGCTCCTACCTCTTGTTTTATTAACTGATAACATCATGTATCCTTGGATTGAAATTTTAAAAATAACCAAAGAAAAGCATTTAGAAATTAAATCCACCAATGTCTAAAAATAATAAAATTTACAGTAAATCATGTGGTTCTTGATGTTCTTTTGTTTTAGGATTATTCATAATTCAGTGTATTGTGAAAAATATTACTTTTTATGTTTATGTTTTCTTCTATTTATTAGGTGTATGTTTTTATCAATTTATTTTTACAAAGAGTTGATTRTATTTATCTTTGTTTCTATAAAGAGATATATATTAGAGATTTCATATTTGTATATATATTTATAAGACAAAAACATTTCTCAGGAACAGTTTTTTTAATGGAATTATTTAATGACGTAATTAATGGCCATCCTTACTCTAAAAAAGGAATTGCCTTATATGTTGAATAAATTCACAAAATTTAATATCTTTGATTAATACATATTTTAAGTAATTTTCTACATGAAACCTTTATGAGATCTGTTGTTTTCTTTCTACAGTGCTACTTGACAGTAAGTCAGAATATTGATGAGTACCAAGAGTATTCCAAAGAATTTCCCAAATATCATCTTAGTAAATAAAATTAAGAAACCCCAGAAATTTTTCTTATAGCTCATCACCAGACTTGGAAAAGGAAAATCTTGTTTTTTCCTACTTACTATCTTTGGTAAAGACTGCCATTCCTTTCTTTGATCAGTTATTTTTTCTTAACTCTAAATCCACTTTGCATAAAATGACAGGAGAAGCTGAAGTAGGATGTTAGACATTTTTCTTTGATTCTCTTCCTTGTCTTCAAATTCTAATACAGGCATCTGGAGAATTTATATTTCAACTTGTTGTGCAAGTTCTATATATAAAACTAAAATATTTTTCAAAAGAAATTTGAGGTATATTTTTTGAGGTTCACAAATTGTGATTTCTTAAAAGACCATTACATTTTGTAATTAATTATGTTTTGATTTATTTTATACCTGCCATTTCCAAGTCAAGGCCATGTGCAGATATTTCTGTTCCAGGCCAAAAAAAAAAAAAAAAAGACTCACAAAAACCAAACATACAAACAACCATAAACCCAACTTACTTATAAAACCACTCTTCTTCAATTGTAAATAGTACATTAGCTTTTAGAAGTAAGATAACTTGAATCACCCTTTATGTAAGAATTTTCCACCCTGGGAGGAATTAGATCATATTTGGTTAATTATATGCAACTCTTTGATTCATTATTTTGGTGCATGAGATTTTTTATACAATGAAAAGATTCTAATTTTAAAAATTAATTTTCTTAAAATAGTTCTGAAAATATTTTATATCAATGCTAGTTTATAGAAAGTAATAAAATAATGTCTTCAGAAATGCATACCCTAGTGTTACTTAAAAACTAATGTCTKYTTCTGATGCCTGTCAACATCATTTAAATTGCAAAACATCTTAGAATGCCAACAGCTTTTTTTGGTTAGTTACAGTGATACAATAAGATCTTTTCCAAAGATATTACATTGAGGATAAAGAAGGCAATAATAATTTGCATCTCAGAATGGCTCAATTTAAAACAGTTTCATAATTAGGGATCTTAAAGAATTTGTGAGTCTTCACTTCCTCTTTTAATTCTGTCTTCATCGTCATGATCATCAATCAGTATTTCTGAAATAAATGCCAACGTGCCGATCCAATTTTAACTTTGTCTTCAACTTTTTACTATTTCAACACTACTTAAATCCTGTTTTTATCATTTTCTTCTTTATAGATTGAGATAGAGAAATATTGGGAAATTTCTGAACAACAAATTAAAATAATTATTTTTTGTGTAATCAGGTTTTATTCTCATTCCTAACTACAAGAACATGAACACATCTTGACGATGACATTTTATCTATGGGAAGACAGATAAGCAGGGAATACTTTTAARTGATTGGTCATTTAATTAACAAATTTAAAACTTTAAACCACAGCTCTATAAAATATGTGGTTATTATTGATCAATATATAAGCATCTGGTTTTGAATTGCTTTAGTGCAAGTTTTAAAGTAGTCATTCAAATATTTAGAATGAGAGTGGTTTAGATTTTTTTGTTTATGTTTTGTTTTGTTTTGTTTTCAAGCCACTGTGGATATCCTTTATATGTTGTTAGTCTCTGGTTTCTCCTTTTCTCTCCTTTAGTAGTGAGAATGCAAATCTAATAACACAAATTCTCATAACCTGAAAACAGTCCTTTTTTCAAAACCAATTATTCTTGTTACTCCACAGATATCTGATGTTCTTCAGATATTTTCAGTTCATGTGTCTTAAGTCTCTATTACTATCACTGCTGGCATATTTATTTAAGCCACTATTTTTTTCCTAGATTGATTTCTAATTTTTACATTACTTTCAGATATGTTTTTAGAAGCATTATTGTTGTTATTAGATTTGAAATTATCAAAGCAATCTCCATATAGAAAAATATTGGAGATTCTTAGAAATCTGAGAAAGTGTTTGCTTCTTGTTTAGAGACACTAACTACTTCTCTAGTGTACCACAGTGGTGAATGCACATTTTCTGCTTTTTAAAGGAAGAATATTTATATGTAATTTAAATATATATAATATAAATATTCTTATGTAATGTAAATATTCCTACAAGACAAAAATCTTTTTTTCATATATGTTTTCAGTGAAGGAATTTCTAGCCAAAGCCAAAGAAGACTTTCTGAAAAAATGGGAGAATCCACCCCCGGTAAGAAATATTTAAMTTTTTCTACAATTAAAATTTCTTTGTTAAGTAAAATCATGATTCTTGCCTAAGTAATTACCACTCCAGATATTTTAAGTTTCAAGTGGTTTTAGTAAGCATAAATTTAAAATGGGAATTATACCACAATGTTACGTTTTAATTAATTAATTGATAATTTTATATACATCTAAATTGAAGAAGGTACTAATTTATCATATAATACTCAAAATAGGTTTTGACACTAGCACGTTTTGGTGTTTTCTAATCTCATATTAATGTTGAATGATGTCCTTGTTAGCATACACCAAAGGTGGACTTTGTGATTATAAAATGGTAAACACTATATAACATGAAACATGAAGGGAGGTGAAGAAGATGGCATATATTTCATCATATAAAGAAAAGGTATGACTAGTGTAAACAGATGTTCTGTTGTGTATTAATGGACTTTGTTTCCATTATTTAATTGGGATTATATTAAACATTTCAGTCCATTTTATCAGTAAAATGAAAAATTAACTATTAACTCATGAAATTAATTCAGTTGAAATTTTAAGGGCTATTTTCTGCATTGATAAAGAATCTCATTAAGTATGAAATTAAAATGATAAAAAAGCATATTTCTTAAGTAAAACATGGTTGATTTCCTGCTCTGTAATAATTCAACATGATGTTGCTTAACAAGCTGAGTTTTGTTTGTAATAAATTCAACAACACTGAACTCCAGTTGCTATCCAGATTCATCACATATACAAGAATCATGTTGCACCATACTTTTCTCAAGCTAAAAGCTCTACAGACTAAGCCTTGGAAATATTTTCCATGATTTTCATGGATATCTTTGTGATTAAAATTATTAAACAATTGGGTCTGCAATTACTACTTGTTGCTATTTAGCACATAATTTGTTCCTAGTAATTTTCATTTTGTTGTGGCAGCAACAAATTCAATAGATTGATGCCTCTAATTCTTTGCTTCTGTGCTGTAGTCAAAGCCAAACAAAGATGTTTGCTTGTAACAAAACATCTATTCATGGAGAAAAAGAGTCTGATTATTGTTCTGAGACTCTAGCTTTTGGTTCTTTGTGGAATGAGGAACTCTTCTTTCCTTATTGTTACTGTTTTAGGTAATACTGGGTTATTATAACATCAGAGAGAGAGAGAGGCCTAGTGGCTTTTTCTCATGCTGTTCTTTAGCTCTGTAAGCTTGAATAAAGATCCAAATGAAGTTTGATAGTGCTTCTTCATAGGTAAATCTAATGAAAAGACTGATCTCTCAGCTTATCCATTTTATTACAATATTTACTAGTGCACTAAGATTGTATGGCTTACGTGACTCCTCTTTGGTATACTTCTGATCAGTTTGTAATTATTAAAATACAGAGATGATTTATTAGAAATCTAGTACTAGAAATTATATTAGAAAATGACCATTACTGATTCAGCTGCTCTATGTTGCAATATAATTCTCTCCTCTGTTACKGGATCCTTTCTTATTCARTAGAGAAAGTAGGACCAATAACTTGAAACCTGAATAGTATTTTTGTATTTTTTCTACATGAATAGTTGTAACCCATATTATCATTCTGGTTATGTACTGCAGTGATTGTAATTATCACAGTTGTATGAAAATTTTAAGTTTTAAATTTGTTTCATTTTTCATTCCTTTGTAGAATAATGCTGGACTCGAGGATTTTGAAAGGAAAAAAACCCTTGGAACAGGTTCATTTGGAAGAGTCATGCTGGTGAAACATAAAGCCACTGAACAGTATTATGCCATGAAGATCTTAGATAAGCAGAAGGTTAGTGCTTCTTATTATTTACCTACAGGTTAACCTTCAGTTTTATTAGCATTAACATTARTTGATATCTTAAGATAATTTTATTGTTTCATTCAATTTTTATTCTTAAATTGTGACTATATGATTCAGTTAAAAATTTTAGCATATGAGGATACATTATTATTTCAGTAGTTATACATAATACATATATGTTTAACAATAAAATATATAATGTCAACATGTAAAGAACAGAATTTCTACTAGATATTGGCTTATGGAAAAATACAGGAAACAATTACCTAATCCTTAAATTGGCATAACAGAAATTTAGAAATTTAGTTTTTTGATATTTTAATTTATGGTAGAAGCTCTCTTATTTAACATGATTGTATTTGGTAAATTTAAAATGTCAGTCATAGCAGTCAAATTTTAAGATCTACTTACTATAAAAAACAATTTTTAATTATTTATCACCATTTGGTGTAGCTAACGAATGAAGATATCTGAAGTATTTWTGCTTTAAATATTAAGCTTCCATTTTCCTAATAATCAACAGTTAAGGGAAGGAAAAAGAATAATACTAAATTKTGATATATTACCTTAGAGTTATATTTCCAAGAATGACTTTTTGGCTTATTGGTATATTGGAAGGAAAGGGAAGAAGCAGTAATAGACTAGAAATTCACAGCAGCTCAACTGATGCTATCGAATAGATATGTAATGTGAGCCATGCATATCTTGTAAAATTTTCCAATAACCACATTTAAAAATTTGAAATTAATTTTAATAATACATTTTATTTAATAGCTCAATGACTTCTAACATAAGAGGTAACAACTGAATTCGCTCTAAAATTTATATATATCCATATACACATTTAATTCTACATATTTGTTTACTGCCTTCATTTACATATCTTTTCTAACCATGCTTCTTGAAAAAAATAGTTTAATCACTCTATCCACTAACTCACTTCTTATTAGTCTTCAGTGTACACACAACAGCTTACTTGCCTCCTCATTCACATCCTGCATCTTGCTACTCTACTAAAATAGCCCTGCCAAGTGTCACCAATCCAGTGACTGAGTCAAGTCCAGTGGACGTTTTGCTCATCTTATTTGACATTTTTAGAACATGTGACTGTGCTGAACACTCCCTTGAAACTCTCTTGTTCTGACTTCTAGAATGTCACTCTCTCCTGATCATGCCTTCACCTCTCCGGGTTCTTCCTATTTTGTCACTTTTCCTGTTCCTGTTTTTTGTTTGTTTCTTTTCCTCTGTCTGAGCTAGGTGCAATGGCTCACGCCTGAAATCCCAGTGACTCAGGAGGCTGTGACAGGAGTATCACAAGTTCAAGACCAGCATAAGCTACTTAATGAGAACCCTGTATCAAAATGAAAAGGGTGGGGTGTAGGTCACTGGTAAAGTACCACTGGTTCCAATCCAAAAAAAAAAAAAAATCATTTTTCTCTCTGTTCTTTTCTTTAAAGGTTGCTAATAAATCCCTAAGTTCTGGACTATTCCCCTTGCCTTCTGCTTATTTTCTACTCTTTCCCTATCTATTCTCCAACAGGCTCAACTCTTATGTTCTCTGATCTTGCTTAGTACGGTCTGAGCCTGGATCTCCCAGAGATCTTTTAGCTCCTGCCCTCCTTTTCTAGATGAGGTTATTGGGTCTCAGAGAGGGTGAGTGACTTGTATACTTTTGTTGGTAGCACAACAAGAAGACGCTTTAGATTTATCTTTGTTTATTAAATACGTCAGCAAAATGCTATTATCTGGGTAGCCTCTTGTATATTATTATAATTCTTAAGGAATTTATAAAATGTGCTTTACTAACAAAATATTAAGAGGATAACAAACTATATCATCTATGCTTTTAAGTATTTAGAGAAGACATTTTTAATTCCTCCTTTTGCTAAGGCAGCAACTTATTGGATAAATTACTGAGCCAGTTACCTTATGGATAAATTAAGGCCAACAAGTATTTCCTAGAAGAATAATTGCTATTTTATATCATTTCTATTATTTCAATGTTCTAAGTCCATGCATAATTATGACAAAAGCCTTTATATTCTGAAATTTGTCCAGTTTATTTAATTTACTAAAGCTGAGTGTTAAAATGACACTCCATGATTAACCCCTTCTTTTGTATATGAAATCACACAAATCTTCCAATTAAACCAGTCTGGCTTCTCTATCTTAGAGTATATGGGAGTGAACGGAAAAAATAAAAAAATCAGGCAGGAATTAAGGAAATCTCATTTCTTCACTCCATGCTATGTGTCAAGCATTGCTAAACACTTTTTGAATGTATTGTATCAGTGAAGACACATAGCTTTGTGTGGCATTAATCTCCTTTTTATGCCAATAACCTCGCTACTTAACTAAATAATCTTTTCAAACAGGTAGTAAATTGAAGCAAGAATCTGTTCTACATTTTTCTGATTTCTATACCTTTTTTTTTTCTTGTTACTTTTTCCTTTAAAATGTATTTGTTATCTCTGAGATCCTTTTTACCAACACCTAGTCTGATCCCTAATTAACTTCAACTGGTATTTTACAATAATATCATAATTTCCACAACCCCAGACTTTTCACCTTTAATTCATCCTCCTCACTGTCAACAAAGTTTTCTTAAACCATATCATATCATTTCCCTCATCCATCAAAAAGTTTCATGATGTTCATTAAAAGAAGTCCAAACTCAGGCTACCTAGCAAGGGCCTACTTTCAAACCCTTAGTAGTCTCTTATTCTATTCTCTACTCGAACTCCATGCTCTACTTCCCTGACTTGAAACTTGACCTTGTAGTGCTGTTCTGGGTGGGGCAGGGGTGATAGCCTATCTTCCTTATTAATAATTCCTCAAGCACTTGACTTAAAAAATCAGCTGGTGACAATCATTTTTTAAATTTATGTTAAATATATAAACTAACAGAAATATTAAGAAGCAAACATAAACTTTATATTAATTTTGAACATAAAACTACATCTCCAAGGATACTTGTTAATTTTCCTTTGCCATTTAAGAACATTTTGCTATGAAATTTTGAGAAGCACTATCCTAAGCTATAGCCAAATGGAACTACCATTCAAGACTTACTGTTGTATGTTTTCCCCCTCAGGTATTGGTTCTAGATACTAACCCTGACTGAACTTTCTTCTGTCTTGCCCTTATCTTTATTATCCATCCATCCATCTTAAAAGACTCAGCTCAACCCCTGCCTTTTAGAATAGATTATAATAAGAAGTGACACGTATTGAGCTTTTACTGTGTGCCAGGTACTATATTAATAACTTGAGATGCATTATGCCACATAGCCACTCTTAAAGTAGGTCTTACTGTAGCATTTAATAGGTGAAGAATCTGGGACTCAGAAAGATTATGTACTTGGCCTTAAATAAATGTTTTCTCTTTTGACAACTTATTATAACTCTAATTTGGCAATTATTCATATATTGTTATTAACATATTCATACATCCTAGTTTCAAGTGAGTTTATGCAGTAAGAATGCGATTTCTCCTGCCCCTATCTCTGTAACATCCATTATGCTTTATATGTAGTAGATACATACATTTAAAAGTAAAATAAATTAATTATAAATGGTGAATTTTTAGCTAGTTAATTTTCAAACTAGCTAAACATATATACTTTGGCAGTTTATATGCCTGGAATTCATTTGTATTTTAATTGTATTATGTCCCACATATACATAGTTGGCTTAGGGCTCTAATACAGAAAGCCTCTTTTGTACTTTTCATTATTTATTTCACAAGCCCACACATTGTTCATGGCCTAATTTAAAACCTGCTATATTATAAATGCAAAAGTAAACACAAAGCAACCGTCATTCTCCAGCTGGTGTTATATAATTTATTGTGATATTTATGGACTAATTGGTTCTATAACTTGTTAAAATGTAGACAGTAGTGACCCAACCACTTCATGTCACAGATTTTAAAAACTGAGGTTCAAAGACTTGAAATAACATCTCCAATTTATAAAGTTGTCTGAAATAAAAGGCCTAGGTTAGAACACAGATCTTCTGGCAACCATTCTTTGCTCAGTATTATTTGTGTACTCCTAATTTTACATAGTATACCAATAACTGGCTGATATCTTTAAGTACCTTTCTTATTCATGTTCAATTGGGTGATTTCTATGACTATCCCCATATTAATATAAGCCTCTAGCAAGAAAGAATGCCACTTTCTAATGATTTACACAAATATAAGACACTTATTTATGCTTTCCTAAGGTCACCTTTTCCTAAATTCCAAGTAGAATAGAACACGGTCTTCGTGAAGTCAGGATAAATTGCTTTCCCTTTCTATTGAGTAGACAATCCGGAGAAAGCTTGATTAATCCTAAGTGACCTCTTTTTCATGAAGACATAGTATTTTCTTGCTAATATTTTCTGTGTCCTCTTCTGTGACTGTGTAAATTGAATTTTTAGAATTTGTRCCTGTATTTATTCAGGTATTATAAAATGAACAGATTATATTTACCTAATATTTTTAAATGTTTCCTTAGTCCTTAATTTCCTTACTGATCTTCTGAAGTATTTAAAATCAATATCTACTTACTGAAGTGATATGGTGATTTAACTGTAAGTCATTTGGAACCAAGACTTTTTCCAAATTAATTTTTAGTATTTTTTTATGGGTCTGTTCCTTATTCCCACTTAGTTCTTACTTTTTAACTTCATAGTTTACTTTTTTTTTTTTTTTTGGTACCAGGGATTGAACTCAGGGGCACTTGCCCACTGAGCCACATTCCAAGCCTTATTTGGTATTTTATTTAGAGACAGGGTCTCACTTTTGCTGAGGCTGGCTTTGAAATTGTGATACTTCTGCCTCAGTCTCCCAAGGCACTGGGATTACAAGGGTGCGCCACCATGCCCAGTCCATAGTCTACCTTCTTAAGACCAAGGTTGAAGTCCTCTATTAGGTTCTTTTCATTTGAATCTCATGAGCCCAGTTTGTAATTATTATGCTTCTTATTAAAGTCCAGCAGTTTTGCTTATTCAAGTTTTTTATTGTATGGAAAACACTTTTTTTCTTTTAAAATAATAGTATCTTTTAAATTTTGCTTAAGTATACTCAAGTATATTTATTTCTCAATTGCAGGTTGTTAAACTGAAGCAAATAGAGCATACTTTGAATGAGAAAAGAATATTACAGGCAGTGAATTTTCCTTTTCTTGTTCGACTGGAGTATTCTTTCAAGGTAAATTTTAATAACATCTAAATAAGATATTTTCAACCTCATGTATTTTTAAAAATGTAAAGCTATGATAAAATTCTAAACCAGATGATACAACTAGAGAACATGAGTAAACAAAGGAAATATTTTTAGATTTTGTGTAATACAATCCTATTGTGCTTATAAACTTAGGTAATGAAAAAGTTTTAGCTCTCCCAGGACAACTTTTCAAAGTGACATATATAATTTTTCATTGGGAGGTATTGCAAAATTTAAAATTTTAGTGAACTAGTAACAATATGCCTCCTGCAAATGAATCCACTTCTCTTAAACACTTTAGACCATCATCTCACTATTATTTCTTACTTAATAATTTGTAGAATACAAGTTACTTGCATAAACCAACACAGTTTTCCTCCCCTGTTCAAGTGTCTGATAAAGTACAAAGGGTTTATTCTTTAAATTGGCAGTTTTCCAGCTCTTTGGAATGATACTTGGCGTTTCTCTACTCTATTGAATCTATTAAACATTGTAACTTTTTTACCCCTTTGTTCTTTAAATCAAACGAAAACCTATGTATTCAAGATATTAAAATCTCTCAGACATAATATATAAATATTATTCACTTTTTWAAATTGTTTTTTAACTTTGTTATTCCTTTGCCTATGCTGTAGCATTATTATTATTGCCTCCGTGTTAAATGTTGTCTSCAAGAACAGGAAGAGCAAAAAGTTCCAGACTAATTTGTGGCAAGAATGCCAGGAGGAAAAAAGAGAAAAACAAGATGAGTGTCCCAGTATAGGAAAGATATAGGAGTTCCCATTTATTCTCTTTTTTCTCAGTTTTATTAACCTGTCAGATGGATTTTGATTTTCTTTTTCTAATTGAAAATGATATAATCTTAAAATACTTTTACCTAGATTTTCCATTTTAATATATTTCTTTTTATTTGTTGATAGGATAATTCTAATTTATACATGGTTATGGAATATGTCCCTGGGGGTGAAATGTTTTCACATCTAAGAAGAATTGGAAGGTTCAGGTAACTAATGCCTTTTCCTTTCTTGCATCTTTATTGTGCTTGTGTTTATTTTAAATCAGATTCTTTAGTTAATACCAATGTCAAGAATTTATTTAATTTAATTAAACAATGGTTTAGTTATATGAAGCATTAGGTGAAAACTCTTAACCAGAAACATACCAAACATGATTTTTAAAATTCAAATAAAAGCAATATGAAACCAATTTAATATTCTGTTGGTAGATATTGTGAGATTATTTGAAGAGTTTCCAGAAAATACAARTTAAATTTTAAAATACCAATATTTATTGAACAAATATTTGAGATTATGTAATGACATAGTACATAACATATTGTAATATAATTAATATTTAATGATGACCATATTTGAAACAGGTTTGCATAAGGATGATCATGAGAAAAGACTAAAGAAATGATAATAGTGATATCATGATAAGATTATAAAAGTGCTGTTCACAAATTTAATTCTTAAAGTTTTTGCTATGTTGAATTTTTGAAATATATACATAGTTTAAGAGAAATTTATAGTTTCTTATCAGGTTATTACTAATATGATCTCAGTTGTGAAAATTGGTTTTAGATACTGATAGTTTTATCCGTGTATAATAGCTCATAAGCTACCAGTGATAATTAGCAATCTAAAATAAAATGAGGCTGAAACTGAGAGCAGGTCCAGCTTCTCTYGAGATATAAGAATTAAGTTAAACATTAGTATGAGCTCAAACAGGGCTGATGATGGTAATTTGATTCATAAAGAGATAATGATAGACTTGGACTATCATGAGATGATATCAGATAATAGGCAAGCATTAGTTAKTTGCATTAACTGGGGACTAAGTCATATTTTTATTTATTGACCAGTAATATGTAAGTCACATAATGTGTCAGGGACTTTCACTTCCTTYTCACGTCCCTACCAACCTGTTGTCCAAGCAGGCTTAGAATTGTCACGTTGTTTTCACTGAAGTTCCACACCTAAACCTGTTTTCTGAAAGTTTTCTGCCCATTTTCTGTAACTGCTCATTTCTTTGCTCTGTAACTCCTCACACTCAGCTTTTAATATTTGACTTGGTACTGCAAGGAAAGCAAGTTGACTGAAATCATTCACTCAGAGATACTATCTTTTCTGAGTTTTCACACATAAGACACATACACTCTAAATAATTCTTATTCTCACCTTAGGAACTTTGAGGCAACAAGAATTTGAGATATAGTTTAGCGTGTCTTTGATCAGAAGCAGTGAAGTCAACTGATTCTCTACTTAAACAGAGGATGTCAAGACTTAAAAGCTGCCACAGCTTTAAACCTTCCTGATATCTTCCTGCAATTCCTTAAATATTTAGTAGAAATACCCAATAACAAATGGCATTTAGAATTTTTTTGCTATCACTTTTGAACAATTCAATTGTTGTCTGTATTCCTTTGGGCAAGCATTAGTGTTTAGCGATAAATCATTATGTGAAGTATATTGTATATTTACAGATACACAGAGAAAATATATGGGAGACCTCTCAGGTCACATGTTTCCAAGTTTAAGGATACTTGTTGCAATAACTGGGAATGAGTCCTCCAATTTCTTATGATTTTCCCTTCATCCTTTATCATTTGACATAGGATATAGATTGTTACAATGTTGGGATAGGGCTGAAACTGAAAGAGTATTATGAAATGTTATCCCCAAAGTGTTCTTCTTTTCATATTCATTCATTTAACAAAGATTTAAGGGCCATCTGATGTAAATCAGGCTGAATTGGGAATTTCAGTAACAAGCATTTCTGATGCTACCAGATCAAATTCATGCCATCCATCTTTTGGGAAATCCTACTAATAGTTTAAACTGTTTATTAAAGATATATAAAAAAGAAAGTCATTGGAATGACTTTGGAATTTATCAGGCAGATTAGCAGAATTCAATGAACATACTAGAAAATTAATTATAAATTTAATTTAGAAAATTGGTACATCCTTTTGTAATAATACTCATGTGGCATGAAAAATATACTGATTTGTTAAAATTACAATGACATATAGATGTAATCTATGCATACAAGAACTGTGCATGTTTACACAAKCATACAGATTATATATGTCAGTGTATCATATACATCCATGGTAAAAAAATAATTTGCTAAGATTGCATATTTTGTTGGATAGGATAGGATTTGATAGGATTAYAATTGTTTATTCTTCGACTATATTTTGTGATTTCTGTAATGAGGATATCTTATTTTTGTAATAGAAACTACTACAAAATGGCTAAAATGGCATTAATCTTCACATTAATGAAGTTAAAGAGCTTGTATACAATGAAATTCTTTAAGCACTTGAAATTTGTGAAAAAAGTAGATAGAACCTAATTAATTGGAGATAGATAGTCCAATTAGCACATTAACTTTTCAATCATTCTCAAGTTCAGACATAATTATAAAGACATTATTGTCTTTATAATATGGGAAATAATAATTCAAAATAATATAATTGTTTTAAGGTTATGCTTTTCTTCAACATAAATAAGATGATGAGTGTACCTTACATAACAGGTGCATAGAGAAAAACATGTTCCCTAAATGTATCAAAACATTATTTGAAGACAATTTGGAAATTTACTAAATATTTGAAAACACAAAATTCTTTATATACATTTAAAAGAAAAAAAATGCATTTATCTCCTCAAATACCTCCATTCTGTGTTATAGTAATTTTTATATATAGTCTGTTAACTCATGATTGTTATCCATTTTACAGAAAATCAATGTTTTGGGTTTTTTTGCAGTGAGCCCCATGCGCGGTTYTATGCAGCTCAGATAGTGCTAACATTTGAGTACCTCCATTCATTAGACCTCATCTACAGAGATCTAAAACCTGAAAATCTCTTAATTGACCATCAAGGTTATATCCAGGTATGACTTGAACATATCTTATATAACATATTTGAGAAAATACTAAGTAAGAAGTCTATGTCAACTGTCAATGTTGAACTTTTTCTTTTTTGAGAGAGAGACAATCACTGTTTCCTAATAGCTCAAATCGAGTTTTTAGTTCTGCTGTTATTACAGAGAAGCAAGAAAGCACATCAAGGATGGAACTGTTCAAATCTCCTATAACAATTGTGAACTGAATATAGACTCCTGCATAAGCAAACGATAATAGCTAACTTTGTGAGTACTTATTRGTGCCAGGCATATTCCAAGTGTTTTACATGTACAGGATGGAGTATCCCTAATATGAAACCTTTTTTTTTTTTTTAAAGAGAGAGTTTGAGAGAGAGAGAGAGAAATTTTTAATATTTATTTTTTTTTTAGTTCTCGGCGGACACAACATCTTTGTTGGTATGTGGTGCTGAGGATCGAACCCGGGTCGCACACATGCCAGGCGAGCGCGCTACCGCTTGATCCACATCCCCAGCCCCAAAATATGAAACTTTTTGAGTATCAATGTGAAACCACAAGTAGAAAATTGCACATGTAATTTCGTATGAAGGATACAGGCAAATTACAGATACACTAGAAATATTATATGGTTAGCTTTAGGTTATGACAATAATGTGCATATGAAACATAAATGAATTTCATATTAGACTTGGAAAACATCATCAATATCTCACTTGTATATATAGATATTTCAAAATTTAGAAACATCCAAAATCTGAAACACTTTCGGTCCCAAGCATTTTGGATAAGGGATACTTCACTTGTATTATTTCTTTTAATCCCAACAACTCCATGAAGTGTAAATACTATTCTTATGCTCATTTTAAGTTAACATACGTAAGAGATAGCAAGATGACAGAGCCACTAAATAGTAGAGTCAAAATTTGTACACAGGTAGTCTGATCTTGGAGTCTATGCTTTTTATCATTACAGCAGCCCCAATTACCAAAACTGAACTGGTGACAATGTTTCGTTTCCATTTCTTCTATTAACAGAGTGATATATCCCTTTCTACAAATTTGTCTGTATGTTCTCCCAATAATGCTTCATACTTTGATGATGTAATTAATGACTGAGGACACATTGACTATAAGGAATACTTACAGCATTGTTCCATTTTTTTAAATTTATTGTTACCTTTTATTTATTCATTTATTTATTTATATTCCTTGAGTCTAGAATCTTATGATAACAACTACAAAGCATTTATCATTGTTTTTCATCTGTTTCTTTGTTTTGAGAGGGAGAAGGGGTTTCCAATTTGAGTTGTTTTAATAACCTTTATTCACTAAATAATCACTTCAGGAATTAGTCTCAGTTATATTGACCTAATTCCACGATTTTCATTTTAATCCTGGATTTCTAACCCCGCCAACACACACTGATACTAAGGCTTGAACCCAGAGGGTTTCTACTCTATTACTGAGCTATATCCCCAGCCCTTTTTTWATTTTATTTAAGACAGTATCTCCCTAAGTTTCTGAGGCTGGTCTTGAACTCATGATTCTCCTTCCTCCTGAGTCACTGATATTACAGGTGTCCACTGCCACATCATACCCTGAATTTTTAACTTTCAATTTGGGTACCATAAATAACATTTATCATGAAGTGATAAATTTTAACAAGCATTTTTTTTCTCTCTTATAGGTCACAGACTTTGGGTTTGCCAAAAGAGTTAAAGGCAGAACTTGGACATTATGTGGTACTCCAGAGTATTTGGCTCCAGAAATAATCCTCAGCAAGGTATATTTATAATGTTAGTTTGTAAGAAGAAGCAACATGAGGCATGCATCACTGTGGATTTTTGTGTAAACAATTATGGGTCTAATTTTACATTTTTTATTTGATCTAAGTTATGAATTTAAATCTATTTGTGCATGATTACTCAGGAATAACTATTTAGAGTTAGCATTAATCCCCTAAATTATATCAATTTTGACTATGGATATTAGAGAAATAGAGTGGAAAAAATCTAACCTCTAGCTCCATATTTGAAGCCAAATACAGTCTTTTCATAATTATTCCCAGTAACAGGAAAACCAGTAAGCCTTGCCAAGAGGCAAATCTAGTGGTGAAATATACAGTTGTCAATTCTTCCTTTGTTTCAAATTTATCAATTTAATGAAAGGAATATGTAAAAATATTTTTAATTTTAGCTTAATAGTGATGTTACAGCAATTGAATAGTTTATCTATTGAAAGCAGTCCTACTTTTCAAACAGTGAAATGTGGGAGGAGAAACTACAACCATATTTAAAAGAATGTTTAACTTCTCTTTTCTTTTCCTCACTGTTCCTTGATGGAGAAAGCTAGAAGAGAGAAATTAACAAAAACTGACCATAAATAGGAGCAAGGAAAGTGAAAGAAACCAGACATGGGCCTTATTGTGTCACAAACTAACTAACTGAAATTTGGTTAACCTATGGAATGTTAAAGTAAAAATTTTCTTTTAGCTTTTCTTCTATTATCTTTCATAATTTAAATCACATATAACTTTTTAGTCTTTTATAATCTAAATATCATGCTATTAACACATTTCTTCTTTATAAAATGCACTCAGCAAATAATGTAACCACAAAATAAGCACCAAAACTGTACAAGTGTGTATATGTTATAAAAGTAATAGACGCTTATTGCAGAAAACTTGGAAATGGAGAAAAATATAAAGAAACAATCCTAAAACCTACAATCCCACCACCCAGAGGCAGCCTTTTGACATTTTTTTTTTTATGCATGATATCCTAGTTGAGATCATAGTGAATGTATAGTTTTGTGGCTAGCTTTTTTCACTTGCATGTTAACAAGCATGCAAACCTCATTCTTTTTTTTTTTTTGTCTTTGTGGTGTTAATGCTTGTATGCAAATGTACCATAAAGTATTTAGCCATTCTTCTATTGAATATTTAGATTTTTTTTTTAATTGTTGTTTTCAGAAGTTTTTGTTGTTGTTCATTTGGGTTTTTTTTTTTGTTGTTGTTGTGTTTGTTTTTTGCTATTATATACAATTGTGATAAACATCTTTGTGCATAAAGCTTTTTCTGTATTTCACATTATTTCCTTAGGATAGATTCCCAGAAGTGGAATTACTGGGTCAAAGGGTATGAACATTTTTAAGGCTCTTGATACATATTATCAAATTGCTTTCCAAAAGGTTGTACCAGTTTATACTCCTACCWGTAGTCTTTTGAGAGTACCTATTCTACCACACCCTTTCCAACACTGGTATTCTCATTTTTTTAAAATTTACTAATTTAATAGGCAATAACTAATATGTCATTGTTTTAATTCTCATGTCTTTGATTGTCAGATTTCTTTCAAATGCTTAATAACCATTTGGTATTTCTTTGGGTGTGTGTATAAATTATTAGTTCGTGTCCTTTGCCTATTATCTATTGCAATTTAGTGAGTTTCTTATTGATTTGTTTTAATTCTCTATGCGGAGGCTGTTCTTGTACCTGGCCTATTTACTTGTAAACAGAAAAAAATGAAAGCATATAAATTAGAGAGTTGAGCAACGGTGATGCCCATTTCCATCAGCAAAATTAAGTGCTGTTCCCATTATGTCACTCCCTCCTTTTAAAAAACACATAGAATCAGGAAAAAAGAAAAAAAAAACCTGCTGTATTATGACACCATATTTTAGCTAATAATTTGAAAACTAAATTATTTATAAAGCTAATATTTTTAAAAAGGGTGGAGTATGGTGAGGAATGATAGCAATTAGAGGGTATATTAAAAGGCAGAATAAAAAGTCTGAGAAGAACTCAGCTTATTTCTGTCCATGATCAAGTGGTGGTGGTTTTTTATTCCCATACTATTGTGCCAACTGACACAGATCAAAGTTTATTCAAAAACTTTGATGTAAAAAAAACCTTGATGTAAACATGTTAGTATAAACATGTTATTAATATTTGTTTTCTTATAAATACTTATAGATCTTAATTTTAATAAGCTTAATATAAAAAAGCCAAACCTAATTAAACAAATTTTTGAATTGTATATTTGATTTCTAAAGCACTTTTTATCCATATTATTCCCTTTATTTTGATATATTACTCACAAAACCAGCTGGGCTTGGTGGCATATGCCTGTAATCCCAGTGCCTCAGGTGCGGGGGGGGGGCGGGGGCGGGGCGTTGAGGCAGGAGAATCATGAGTTCAAAGCCAACTTCAGCAGCTTACCAAAGCCCTAAAGAATTCAGTGAGACCCTGTCTCTAAATAAAATACAAAAAGGGGCTGGGGATGTGGCTTAGTGGTTAAGTGCCCATGGGTGAAATCCCCAGTACCAAACAACAAAAAAACAACCCTCGTGAACTAGTTTAACTAGTTTTCTTCTCTTTATACCTTTTAGAGATGAGAAGCAAAACAATAGACAATTACAAAAGTAAAATATACTTAAATATTAGTATTAATTGAATTTCACACTAAACTTTTAGCATTCATGAGATACTGTGAAATAGATATGATTATCCATAGAATATTAACCCTCCTAACTCCAAGAATGTATTATACTTTTCAATCAACTTCACTATTTACCACTTTAGTACGCCTATTTTGTTTCAGAAGTTTGGAACTGTCTAGGTCAAAACCCAATTCATACAATTGTGGACCTAGAATGGGCTTTGGAGGGATTTTGGTCTGACTCCCTTTCTACTATTGAGCAACTAAATTATTCCAGTGAAACAGGAAACATTTCATTRTCAATAATATTCTTAATGATTCTAGGAAGATGATTTAATAATCCTTCCTAAATCTTATTCCAATATCTGGAAATTCTCCCTTTTGTTTAACTTAAATTTGACCTGATAAATTTTGTTCTTTTTAAAAATTCTATCCAGAATAGCTGTTTAGCAACTGCTTACAAAATGTTTCATAGCTTCCAGGTCATTTTGAATTTACCTGTGATTTCATTTTCCTCTGAGCAAATTAAGTGATCATTGACATTGGTGTTGGTTTACCCCAGGGATACAATAAGGCAGTGGATTGGTGGGCATTGGGAGTGCTAATCTATGAAATGGCTGCTGGCTACCCACCATTCTTCGCAGATCAACCAATTCAGATTTATGAAAAGATTGTTTCTGGGAAAGTAAGTAAAACATTTTGTTATTTTTATTCATTATTTCTAAATATGAATTTTAAGGTTTAAAAATAGAACCATATTTGTTTTCATCCTAAATTGGGACGTATTTTACTACATTTTATGTTATGTCAGTATTTATAAATAAGGGAACTACTGAAGAACTTATACCCTAATTTATACCCTAACTGTGCAAACAGAAAAATGCCTCTTACAAATRAATAAACTGAGTTAGGTATTGAAAGATTTACAATGATAAAGGCAATACAGCAAGACAGAATGGAGAAATTACATTAAATAATTATCACTGCTGTTCTTGTCACATTTGTAGATTTCTAAGCTTCAGATCTTTTATCTTTGTATATAATTGTTTTTCTCTTGTAGGATATAAGTCATAATAAAAGAAATTTTGATATTAACAAAATAAAAATGCTGAGAAAAAGTAACAGGGAAGTTAGTGATTTATTTATTTAAGAATTTGAGCAGTAAATTTTTAAATTTAAGGGAGAATAAGGGCCAAAGGTCATATGAGAGAACTAAAATATATTAAAATACAAATGAGAAGAGAATTTTATTAATACAAAGTCTAAGAATATAGAAAATATACTAATATTTTCAAATTATTGAATCTTAATCATTTAATTGAATCCTTACTATATTCCTTTTTTTTTTACTTGACTTAATAAAGATATCAGATTCTTTGAAAAGGATGTTATTATAACTAAAATGACATTTACTTAGAAAAATTGTTTTCATTAAAATAAGTGTATTTTTATAAATGTGAAATGGCCTCAGTTTGACAACTGTTCTACTTTGAGGTATAAGTTTTTTAGCTATTTATGAAAAGGTTTTTATTTCATATCAACTTTAATATTTTATATCCAATCTTCTGCATATGTTCTAAAATAATAATAGTTAAAGCAGGTGTCGTGGCAACTTGTGAGGCTGAGGCAGAAGGATTGGAAATTTGAAGCCAGCCTCAGCAACTTAGCCAAACCCTATCTCAAAATAAATTACAAAGGGCTGGCATTGTAGTTCAGTGCTAGAGTACTCCTGAGTTCAATCCCCAGGACCACAAAAAAAGAATAAATAAAATTAAAACTAATTAAATAAATAAATTATAACAGTTTAAATTCTAGTCTTTTAGAAGACTAACAGTATAAAAACTTACCATATCATGATATGAATATTTTCCCYTTATTTATTTAGAAATATGACAGGGTGTTTGGTGTACTTTTATTTTTAACTAAAGGTTCCAGATTATCTCCCTGTATTGTGTATGTTTGATTCTATCCTTTGCTCCCTTTATTCATGGAGGTAGAATAGTGCCATTAAGTGATCTCTGGCATCTGTATTATGTGAAACACAGACCATATTCACTTTTTCCCAGTAAAACTGTTCTAATACCCAAACTACACTGTACCCACCTTGCAAAGCTATTGTTACCTCTCCAGATAGTAACTAAAAGCCAAATTGGAAACTAGTTTTTAAATKTTTTAATGTTCAAATCATTAAAAAATCCAATTTTCATTTCATATTTGTGGAGTCTCTATTTGCATTTACATTTTTAATGGTTTTAATGATGTGCAGTATCATGTAAGAGTATTTTTTATTCAGAACTGCTTTTTCTGATTTTAAAAGAATATTATTTAGTGCAACATATTATTGATTATATTTTCTACTCTGAAACCATGCTAAAATAATTATAAGTATACATGACTTATCAAATGTAAAATAAAATGATTAATTGAATTGATAAAACACTTATATTTGAATGTTAGATTATTAAGTTCTTTCTCTGTTACAATATTTTAACTCAAGCTGGTAATTTTAAATGCACAGAAAGATGATCAATCAGCTTGTTAGGTTCTCTCCTACACATATTTTGTGTTTAAAAAAACAGAGGAGGTGGTATTTAAATGTCAAATTAGTCATGCAATATTAAGGTTCAGGTTTAGAAATGCATAGTTAACAGAAAAGATTTATAATTCTTTTCTCACTATGCCTTGTCCTAGAGATATATGCTGAGTTTCTGTATAATCTTTAAATTTCATGCCTCAGTGCCATCCACCCTATGACATGAATCAGTTGTGGTTTCCACAACAACTCTATCTGGCTGCATTACCCATGGAAATACAAAAGTTAATATCTTGTTCAAAAATGATACTTGCAAATAAAGTAATCAAGTGAGAGCTGTTATGGAAACCATAATTGTAGAATCTGTGACCTATACAATTAAAAAAATTTCTTAGCTTCATTATATATAATGTAAATATTAATATAAATATTGTTCCTTGTAATGAGCACCATGAATGCACAAGGAGACACTATACACAGTATAAACATTAATATATACTGAATGATCAAGAGTTGGTTTAGTTTAATATATACTAAAAGGTAATTGATTAGTAGCCATATGGTAATTTTCCTCTGTGTCAGAGTTTCCAAAGTCCAGGTTTGGTGATTAACTGGTAGRACTCACAGAACTCAGCCTATGTTGGTAGTCACAGTTAAGACTTATTACAGTGGTAAGATACAAAGCAAAATCAGCAAAGCATTTTAAAGATAGTCCAGACAAAGTCCAGAGAAAGTAGTCACCAGCTTTCAAAAGTCCTCCCCAGGTGAGCCACAAGAGATGCACATGACTCTTCTAGCAACAAATTGTGAAACACATGAAATGTTAGGTACCAGCAAAGCTCATGAGACTCAAGTGTCATGTTTTTTTGGAGAGCTGGTCTTATATGCATTCTCTACCTAACATACACCAAACTTTCAGAATCCCAGAATGAAAATAGATGTTTAGCATAGACCATATTCTTTATACAAATAGACTAGACACAGTGAGCTACTCTTGTCATTAAGAGATATTTTCATCCAATCTAAGAAACGAGTGCCATTCAAGTTCCCAAATACCTGCCAACTGTCAACTTGCAAGCAGTCCTCTCTAAGGATGGCAAATCAGTCCTCTACATTAACTTGTCTGTGCACGTTCTATTTTCTAAATCGCATACACATGCACATATACAACTACACTTTTTCTAAGATGCCATCATTAATACATTTTGGGGAAATTTAGATGCCATTTTCTGTTTAGCTATGGCTATAGTTAGAGACATAAAAGTACTCAGAAGTCATCTTCATAAAATGCAAAAGCAGTTCTAATATTTGCATAAAGGACTATTTTTTTTAACAATTTGCTGTGGTCATTTAAAATTCTCCTTAATACTTTGAGACAGCCCTTTATTCTGGTAGTCCAAGGAGCAAATGATTGCAACACTGACTCACTGGGAGTGAGGATCAGGTGGGTAGTAGCTCTCTGCAGCCATCTAGATTTGTTATATCTTCTGCTGTTCATGCGTAGGTAAGGGAACAAATTAGAGAGCATACAGGCACAGTACCAATATTATAAATATTTTCAGTGTCTTGGCACGTTTTATTTATAGAATCCTGGCTGATTAAAGTTGCTGTGGGTTCTATTAGGCAGTGTGATGCTTAGCAACATGTCTATAGAAAGCCTTCTATGTGAAAAGCTGTTCTGTCTTTAGAAAAATTGACTGATATATATGATCATTTTTGTTAAATAAATCCTTTACGGGGATTGCTGATGGTTTAGAACTTACTGTACCTAGTTTAGGGAAGTAATTTCTTAAAATTTTTTCCAACATGCTTGTGAACAGAAGCTAATAGGTTATTGGTTATTGCTYGTTAGCTGTGTGCAAATCCTTTTGAAGCATTTAAGCCAATTTTATCCCAATGCATTAAAGATAACATTACTAAACAGTCCTTTCCCCTGCCAATAATTGCAGAATGTCAGGAAGATCTTTCCCTTCTATCAGCCAAAGATCAACTTTATAATTTATGTAATTATAGACAAATTTGATTTGATTTGATTCTAAAGAAAAAAAAAGTCAGTAAAACCAGTTAGTGAATTTAAGTCATGAATACCATAACAACATGAACTGATTTGTTTTTTGGAAGTAACTTCATCTTATATTTGTAGAAAATAATAGTCATTCCTAACACTGAAATGTACATGACTCTATAATTGGTGCTGAAAGCAGAACAAATATTAAATTTGCTCAATTCAGAATGAGCTTCATAGTTTAACATATTGTGTAATGTAATTTGATAAAGTAGTTTAAGATATCAGCTATGTTCACAATCTTATAAAACAAGGTTATAGTCATCCATTTTCTCCTTATTCTGTCAAATTTAAGACTTTAAGAAAAGGTGGAAGTGTTCATTCAATAAATAAATAGGTGGAAGATGAGCCAGAAAGATGAGAGAAACTTCCTACATATTCCAGATAACTTTCCTAACAAAACTGTCCTTGTGTAACCTGGAAACATAAACATCGATTATAGACTTGTTTCCATGTTCAAAAATTCAACTTCAGATCATTAAAACAGTTCTAATGGGAAGGTTGAAAACCTAAAAAAAAAATGTATTGAATTACTGCCTATAAGATATTAGTGATTATAATGCAAGATAGTTTCATAATTTCTTTTTATACCAACCAGATGAAAATATAATCTCATTATTTTATAGATGAGGAAATTGAAACTCAAAAGGTTAAAGGGTTTGTCCTGCATGTATGTAACTAGAGTTGAGATTGGCACCCAGGAATTCTTTCTAATAAAGAAATAGCTTGGCTGCATGGAGTGGTGCACACCTGTAATTCCAGCTGCTAGAGACCTGAGGCAGGAGAATCGCCCAGGAGTCTGAGGCTAGCCTRGGCAACATAGCAAGACCTGTCTCCTAGGACTGGGGGAGGGAATCTAAAAAAGAAACAGCTTGGTAGAATTTTTTGGTGGTGAAGATAATTGAATTTATTTTTTGAAATGTTCCCAAGTGAAGCTGATATCAGCCATCACAAGCCACCACCATTCCCCATTTGAGAATCCTTGTTCTGAAGATGAAGCAAACACATACACACACACACACACACACACACACACACACACACACACACACACACAAACACACACACACACGCACGCACTTTTCAGACCATGATTTTATCTGCATTACAAAATAAAGAAGAACTTAATAAAGATACTTATATTCTTAATGCATTGCATTGCACATGACCTGAATTTAGAACATAATTTATGTATAGTACATTACTGTCTGCAATTCTGAACATCATGAAGGGGCTAACTGGCACATTATGATTGAATAATTCATGTAAATTCTATTCTAAGCAAAGACAGATCTACTTCAAATATGCTTTTTTTCTTTGGAATTGCAATAAAGTTTAGATATACCACAAGAAAAGCCTAAGCTAATATAACCACTGGAAAAATATCATATTATTTTTACAGTAAATAGTGTGCCTTTTACTATTGCTTATTCTCTACTTATTACTCCAACTAGGATAAATGAGGAGAAATGCAGAAAAATATATTAAGATGAAAAATTCAGTATTTTAGAAGGTTTCTGATAGTGACTATTTTCAGGTTTTTGAATCATGGAAGCAATACAGAATAACTAGAAGTCTATACTCTGGAGTCATAGTACTTGTTTGGAATTACAGCTCTACCACTTATTAGCTCTATAATCCTGGGCAAATTATTTAATCATTGTAGTTCTCAGTAGCTTCACTCACTCTATAATGTAGACACAATAATCACACCTCAGCCCCAGAAATCTTCATTTTTTACCATGTTTGTCTCCGAGTTTATTCGATTCACTTTTTAAATTTTTTTTTAGTTGTAGATGACAATATACCTTTATTTTATTTATTTATTTTTATGTGGTGCTGAGGATAGAACCCAGTGCCTCACATGTGCTAAGTAAGCACTCTACCACTGAGCCACAACCCCAGCTCTTCCATTCACTTTTGTACTGCAGCATAATAGCAGAACTATGCCTAAAAATCAACTACTAATAAATGAAAAATAGTTTTCTGTGTTGTGAAAGGCAGTATGGGTTTATTTACTTATTCTAATTTGTTATACATGACAGCAGAATGTGTTTTGATTCATAGCACACAAATTGAGCACAATTTTTTATTTCTCTGGTTGTACACATAGACTTACTTTTTGATAGATCTTTGAAAATGTACATACTGATTTTTTTCCATATTCAGCTTGTTCTGTTTATATTGTACATCTCTGAGACAGAGGTTTGTAATGTGAAATACAAGAGGATCTCTTGAAGATGGGTGAGGTTTCTGATATTGTTGGAAAAGTTTGTWTGTATGCACATTTAGTTTCTGGAGACTGGTCTACACTCAGCCCATAACTAAAATAAGACCAGAAGAGAACAGTGTTTTAGTTTATTAACCTAAATCATTCTTCAAGACTACTACAGGGACTGTAGTGTGTAGTTAAAAGGTCTTTGAAGATCATCGCTAAATTTTTTTGTATACCTGTCACCTTAACAAAAAATTTATGAAATCAAAACATGAATATTGGAATGTGTGTTTTCCCACATACTGTATTTGTGCAGGTTCGATTCCCATCCCACTTCAGTTCTGATCTCAAGGACCTTCTAAGGAACCTGCTCCAGGTGGATCTGACAAAGCGATTTGGAAATTTAAAAAACGGTGTGAGTGATATAAAAACTCACAAGTGGTTTGCCACAACAGATTGGATTGCTATTTACCAGAGGAAGGTAAGATTCTACTTTCTTTTTAATATAATAAATTGAGAAATTTAAGAAAAGATTTTACTATGATGAATTACTTTTATCTCCCCCTTTCCTTCTTAAGTGACAAGTTAAAAATAATTTCATGAATAGTATTTTCATCCTGCTGAATTTTTTCATCGTATTTTTCATAAAACCAAAATTTGTCATGTTTTAGAGATTTGCCATCTTCTATAATATTGTGCAGCCACATGAATGGATTTCCTTAGGGGGAAATATTTAATGCTCTAATTAAATATTAAAAGCACAGTTTTTCTAATTCATGATTTTTTGAAAAGATTATAAAATCAGAGGAACAAAAGAATTTAAATGCAACAAATAGAAAATACACAAAGCAAAAAAAGCATTAGGGCAACAAAGCCTCCATATCTCAGGAGAGAGGGCCCAAAACCATCTAGTTCATGAAACTTAGCTGTTAATATCATTATCTCCAATAGGTGTGTTATGTAGTCAAGAATAAACTCTATAGTGATTAAAAACATTTTAGATCTCAAAAAAACACAACATTTTGTATTTTCATAGTTTTAAAGCAACTCTTTGTAACTTCTCATTTTAGTCTTTGAAATAATCCTGTGAAACAGGCAGTGGTATTTTCCCCATTTTACTAGTAAGGAAATCAGCTCAGATAGGTTAACTTAAACATAATCTTACAGCTGCTAAATAATGCCTGTATTTGATTCCAAGTTCTTTAGATTCCCAATTCCAGTATCACATTACCCCTTTTTAAAGTCCTTTTAACATGAATTAAGGTGAAGCTCCAAAGCACTGAACAATGAATTGTTTTATAAGATCTTCATAGATATTTCATATCTTCATGAACTTTTATGTAACTTTTATGCTTTGAGAGGGGAGGCAAACTGTCTCAAAAGGCAGCAAAGAGGGRCTGGGGCTGTAGCTCAGTGGTAGAGCGCTTGCCTAGCATGTGTGAGGCACTGGGTTCAATCCTTAGCACCACATAAAAATAAATAAAGTCAAGTCATCATGTCCATATACAACTAAAAATTTTTTTAAAAAAAGAAAGGCAGCAAAGAAAGAACTTGAATTCTGGGGTTAGATAGATATCTAAATGCCAAATCAACCACCCATTTTAATGATCTTGAATGAATTATAAAGCATCAGTTTTATCATTCTTAAAATTTTGGATTAAGATAGAGAATACAGAATAAGAAGTTATACTCCATTTATGTATGATGTATCAAAATTCATTCTACTATCATGTATAACTAATTAGAAAAAAGTTTAAAAAATTTTTTAAAGTCAGAGACTAACTACAAAGGGAAGAGTTGCATAGAAGGAAAGATGAGATACATTAGTCCAGGCTCCATGTTTGTTTCATATATTTACAATCAGGAAATTTATTAAGTAAATGAATTTTAAATCATCAAAATCCTCACCATCCAGATAGGACCTCTTAACATTTTTCATATGTTTTTCACATTTTTTTCCCTATTCTCCATCACTGCAGTCCATTCCATGACTTCAGTGACCACCTAAGATCTACTTCCTCCCTGAGCTTTCCTTCCAACCCTGAACTTTCCCCTCTACTCCAGTCCTTTATATCAAAATTGCTACTTACTACACAGTTCCATTCAAGATTATACAATCATTCTTAAATAGTCTGTTCCACTCTTAGTGTGTTATTTAACCTGTATGTTCTCCTAATGCTTTTTGAAATCTAACTTTTTATTATTGTATAATAATTATCCAAACTGTCCCCTCAGTATTCAAGTTCTTTTTGTCGATTCTTGTATTCTACACCATTTTATGTAACTTTAATAATGTGCTTTAATATTAAAAGATCTAGTTTTTCTATTCCTCTTCCAAATTTCCCATTCTCTTAATGTATTAGTAAATATTTGTAAATATAAAGAAATATAATATTTCCTAGAAAATCATACTTACCTCATATTTCCCTTTCATTTTTTTWAAATTAGATTTGCCAGTTAATTGTCTGTTTTATTGGTCTTTGTAAAGATTTATGTTTTATTTAGGGATTTCAGTTAGTGTTAAAGTTGCATATTAATAAAAACCTTAATCTTGAGAATTTACCATAATAAACATACTATACTTCTGCAGTTACTATTATTTTTCTGATATTCTCCTCCCTCAAACAGTTCGTATTTATTTATGTCTTAAAATTATTCCCCAAATTTATATTTTTGTTGATATTGTGAAAGTTTGCTTTCCCATTATAGTAGCATATGAGGGAAGCATATGGTTTCTATGTTTATATACTATCATTAATCACCTTACTAAATCTGTTATGGATTCACGTAGGCTTTTCCATAATTCCTTTGAATTTTTKTTAATATTCATGGAGGAGCAGGGGTATCATTTTGCCTTTTCTTTTTCAATATTTATATCTCTTATTTCCATTTTGTTTTATTATATATGCTAAAATATCTAGATCAATATGTTAAAGCAATAGACTATTGTGCTTTCTTCTGTTATTCCTACTTTGAATGGAAATTCCTTTCATCTTTTACTAACAAATCTGAAACCAACTATTTTGCTAAGACTGATATTCTATATCAGATTAAGGAAATAACCTTTATTCTTCAAATATTTTCTTTGATATATTAGTRTGATGAATTATCATTGTTCTATCTTCACATCCTTGAACACCATTTAATCATGGGGTATTTTTATTATTTTAATATTCATCTGAAAACAGTTTGTAAAACTGTTTGATTTAGGATTTTTATTTCCATAATCATAGGTTTTATTGATCTGTATTTTTTGCTTTTTTGAAGTTGAGATTAGGCAGGAGTCATAAAATGAGTTTGGTTATTTTCCATGTTTTTTAATTCAGACAATTCAGGAACACAGGATTATCTTATTCCTTATAAATTTTAACAAAAAAATATCCTGAGTCTTCTTACATAAGATTTAGAAATTTATATTTTCCTCTAAAATAACTACATTCATTTATACTTATTACTGTTTGTTATCTTTATTGTTAAACTTATTGTTAATTAATGCTATATTTAGGTATATTTTTAGATGTTTGTGGTTTATCAATTTTATTAGTACTTTGAATATTCATGATGTATTTTAATCATTTTTGTGTTTATATTAAGTAAAAATGTCTGCTATTATTCAGAAACATTTACAAATCTATCCATATTGTGTATTTAATTTTTGATGATTTTATATATGTATATATAATTTTTCTGATACATATATCAGAAATCTAATTCTTGATATATATATGTATATATGATGAAATTTTTTGATATATATATCAGAAAGAAAAACAGAAGTGGCTTAGACAACTCAAATTGTATATTCATTCTCTAGAGATGGTTTGTTGCCCACAGGTTTGATTCTAATTGCTGTCTAGCTAAAAATGAGGCAACTGTCTGCTTAGCTCATTCTTCTCTAGTGTATGACAGCAGTCCCAAAGCAAGGCATGCAAGATAACCATGTGGCAAGTGAAGAGATAATAATAGGATTTCCATTCCAACTTATTTTTTCCTCATTCTTTTAAAATGCCTGTGTATATCTTATATTAGTATAGTCATGTATGTAAATGTGAATTGCAATATTATTTTTCAGCTCTTAAAATCTTTTCCTCACGCATATTCAATACCCTATGTAATCTTCATAAAATACCATATCTAAAACTGGGTCAAAGAAGAAAATGTATAAAAATTTGACAATTCTATAATTCTAAAAATGCTATATTTCTTTCCAACTTACCAGAAAGTTTTGATGGCTAGATATTTTACACAAAATTAATTTGGGAACTAAAAAGGAAAGGAGATTAAAAGTARGTCCATGATTTATTTGTTAACCTCAGGAGAAAGGAGTTTTTAAAATAGAGGAAAGAAAAAATAAAGATTTTGGAACTAAGAAACTGATTTAAAAAAAAAAAAAGTAGAGTTCTGTAATCTTAATCTTAGGAGCCAGCATTTGGATGCTAGCAGTTAATTATCCTAGAAATGTCTTAAGTATTCTGTTGACCTGCACTATTCCTTGGGTGAAAATGTTGAGATTATTGGCTCACCTACTATTTGTTTTTTCCTCTAATGGATTTTATTTGAGGGACTTAAGGATGGCAGCATGTAGTAATAATGGGAATTTATTTTCCTTAGTGTTTGAAAATTCTCAGGAATTTGTTTTTCCATGTTCGTTCTCTCTCTCTCTCTCTCTCTCTCTCTCTCTCTCTCTCTCTCTCTCTCTCTCTCTCTCTCCCTCTTCCTCCCCCCCCTCTCTATTTCTCATTTATAGGTTGAAGCTCCATTCATACCAAAGTTTAGAGGCTCTGGAGATACCAGCAACTTTGACGACTATGAAGAAGAAGATATCCGTGTCTCTATAACAGAAAAATGTGGAAAGGAMTTTAGTGAATTTTAGAGAGGAACAGGAAACCGCCAGAGCTTACACTCAATCTTTACGCTCTGTTGAGATATAAGGTGGAGCTGAGACCGTCCTTGTTGAAGCAGTTACCTATTCCTTCATTCCAGCRACTGAGTGAGGTCTTTATTGCCATCACCCCTGTGTGCTCTCTGCATCCACCTCTGTAATAAGGCACCRCTAAGCAAGCATTGTCTGTGCCATGACACAGTAGAGACCACTTCCCTACTTTTTGGGTTGTCTTTCTCCCCCTCCTACATCCATTTCTTCCTTTTCCTTAGTTTTTCTGTAAACAGTGCTCCATTTTATTTTGGTGGTATCTTAGATGGGCAGTGTTATGGTCATGTGATATTTGGAAGAAAGGATAAGTGTTGCTTTTAGTGGATTTTGCCAATATTTTATTGGTCAGTGGCTTCAAGACAAACTTTTTAATAATTATTTTTACTTTTAGTAACTTAGACTCAGTTTTGCCAAAACTCCTAACTTTTTTGAGGATTGAATGCCTTATCACCAAAGGAGATTACACAAATTGAGACAAAAATTTCTTGGAATTCATTATTCTGGCAATGAATTTAGAATAGCTTGACAGAGCAATTTAGATTCCYGGATTCCTATAGAACTTCCTAAAACCCGAGGTTCTTTTTCCCTTCACTTTCTCTCCTTAAGAAATTAAATGACAGTCTGTATAGCATGACAGATGTGTCTCATTCCGCAAGAAAAAAATAAAAGAGATGGATCATGGCCCAGACTTTCTTACTTGATACCAACAGTTCTGTAGGTATTAGAGAAGAGTTCTAAGGTTTCTAAACCTTAACTTTCCCATAAGGGTTRAAGCCAGTATTTTAACAGAATGTGATTAATACAGGTGGCAAATTTAAATTTTCAGTCTTCACTATAAACCTTTTAAAGGAAAAGAAGCAAACTAAAAAAGTATTGGTTTGGATGAATACTTTGCTAAGTCAAACAAATGGCTTAATTCTTGAAAACAATATATATTCCTATTTAAGTGAGGTTTTTTTTTCTTTGTTTTGCTTTATATTAAGAACAAAAGAAATTGTTATCTGCTTATTGTTCTGGTGTACTGTATTTTTAAGCCTAAGGTAGGGGCACTGTTGCAACTTCTGCTTTCATCCCATGCCTCAGCAATGAGGAAAGGGGACAAAATTCATAAAATTGCCACATTTGTATTTTAATTTTGGGGTGTGATATTTTTAGATGTTGTAATTTCTAACCTTTTCTCTTGGTAAAGAGATTATATGATCATGCAGATACAATTTAAGTATTTGAGTTTAGTTATTTTTTATACTTTTTGCCAACTGACTTAATGTTGCTGTCATATGGAAATTTAAAGCACTTTTGCACATTTAGTTCAGTGTTTGTTGAGAATCCATGGCTTAACTCAATTTTTTTTTTACTATATTTCTTCTTTCCTTTTAATTTTCCCTATCTGGTTTTTATCTCTGTGTCTCAGTGACCTATCTTAAAACAATACACCAAAATCGCTTAAACTTTGTTCATTTTTTTAATGATCAATTTATGTGCATAAAGATGAACTGTTTATAGTGCAACTGATCTTCTTGTATATTACTGTTCTATTTGCTTCTTTATTGGTGCAAGTAGGTCACTGACACCACATCTCATCTATACTGCCCCTTATAAAACCTTTGAAGACAGTGAATAATACTGTCTGAAATGTTCTGTCCACCAATCTGTATGTCCTTTCAGTGTCAAGTGTTTCTGCATGGTAATGTCACATAAGGCTGATGCTGATTTCAGTTGGTTCACCTATATTTAAATGTGCAAGTAAAATTTGAAACACTTTGCCATAGCAAGTTTTATGTAACAAAGATATATCATCATGTTAATAGATTTAAAACATCATTTGTATAAAATATTTTAATTAATTTTTTTTTTGTATTTCATTTAGAACCAAGAACATGCTGGTCATTGCATTCTATATATATATGCTACAAATTCTATGGTAGCTTTGTTGTATATTATTGTAAAATTATTTCAATAAATCATGGGGATGATGCTTTGATTATTACAATTTAGTTTTCAGTAATCGAAAAATTTCTATAAATTCAAAAAATATTTTTTTCTATGAAATTACTAGTGTCCAACTATAGAATCTACCCAAGTAGACGACCCCTAGGTGTACATTGGTTTCTGAGGGCTATTCTGCCATTCCATTTTACTATTTGAAAAATATGAGCAAACTGTCAAATGTCATGGGAGTCTATTTCTGATCAATCAAGTACACTAAATTAAAATATTTTTAAAGTATATGAAGTTCTCAGTTTCAGCCACAGTATAGCCAAGAACAAGATTAAAAACTTGAATTTTAAAAAGTGGCAAAAAATAGTAATAATCTCAAATTACATTATGTGAAACAGTTATGTTTTTGCCCAATAAATAATTGAGATAGCATTGTATGGGAAGGAGTCCTAGAGTGAAGGTCAAGACATCCGAGTTTAAAGCCAGAAAACTATCAGAATGACCCTGGCTTCCATTCTCCTACCTGTAGAATAGAAGGATTAGATTAGGCATTTTCTGAGGTCCCTTCTAACTTTCCTGTGTTATGACAAGATTTTCCCTCTTCTCTTCTCTTCTCTTCTCTTCTCTTCTCTTCTCTTCTCTTCTCTTCTCTTCCCTTCTCTCTCCTCTCTCTATCTCTTGTTTTCTGATATTTTGAAGGGATATCATGCTTTCAAATAAGTCTCAGTCATGTGATGTACTTTTGGGCATCTTTCTTCTTATCTCTGACAGTGTTCTTACAATTATTTGAATATCTTGAGAACCTTGTGTATGTCCTGATTCCTTACTCATTCACTGATGCTAAATACACAGTTGCTATCAAACTGTCAACCTACCAAAAAAAAAAAAAAAATACTGTGGCTTTTGGGTATCGCTGTCTTGTTCTTGGTATGTTCTTGTACTGACTGCCCACTGGCCTGGAAATATTCATTTTAGGCCTGGAAAAAATCATTTTTCTTTCCCACTAATTGTTTTTTCTGCTTGTGTAAGAATCAAATGAAATAATGTGTGTGAAAGCACCTTGTAAACTGTAAGCTATCAATGTAAAATGTAAAAGTGTATTGTTACTTCATTAATTACTTCTTTGTTTAGAATGGAATTTCCTGTCACTACCATAGCTAGGAAATGCTGAAAACAACCGTGTTTTTTAATTAATCAATAACTGCAAAATTAAAGTATCTTCAAAGGATAAAACTGTTGAGTCTTGTATTCTATTAGATACCCTTATCTTCTGATTTATGTTCTGCTGCTATTACAAATGCCCAAAAATTCCTATATCATCTCATATTGGGATTGATACTTTGTAGTGAGAGCAGAGCATTAGGAGGAGGAATATCCACCAATCTATTCAAACTAGATATTTGCTAGAAATTGCTAGACTCTGGGCTGGGTGGTGGCTCACTGGTAGAGAGCTTACCTAGCATGTGGGAGACGCTGGGTACGATCCTCAGCAGCACACAAAAATAAATAAAATAATGGTATTGTGTCCAATCACAAAAAAAAAAAAAAAAGAAAAAGAAAGAAAGCAAGAAAAGAAAAAAGAACTTGCTAGACTCATTCCACAGTTTCTAAAAAGTGTTTCTATTTCTTCTTCCTTTTCTCATGTTGGTCCAAATTACTCCTAACACAGTGTTGGAAATGTTCATATTTCTATGATTGATACTGCACAACACTGCATGAGCCCTCATTCTCATATTTAAACAATGAACCATAAATGCATACTTTTTTTAGGAGTGCTTTAGAGCTTCACACTACCTCCTCCCAGTTTACTCAGGTTTATTAGTATGCATTTCTCCAGTTGTTCTTTATTGCAAGAAATAATTATTTTTAGATAATTATTTTAATGGTTTATCATTTGTTGGATTATTATTGCAAACATTTAGAGACATTGACATTTTGTAACATGGTACTTACTATTTTTATACTATTATCAGGGCTTAATATAAATTCCAGTTTTCTCATTTCCTTATAAAACTAATTATAAAAATCTAAGGATGTCTTTACTCCAGAACTATCATCCTTTGAAATCCATTTAGTTTTATCTTTATGCACAAATATTGGATGTGAAGTTAATTTTTTAGTTTTTCTGACAAWTTTTTTTATGTTTATTCAATAGCCTTTGAGCCCACTATTAGGGACTGAAATGTAACTTTTGTAGTGAACGAAATTCAAATGTTGCAGTGTGGTCACAAGTGCACCTGCCATCTTGTTCCTATTCTGTCCTAGAATACAAGCAGAAAACAGTATATATTAGCTACTGAGATACTGAGAGTAGGAGAAARCTTGGGTAACTCAAACTGCTACTACCTCCCGGACAGACACCCTCATCACCAAGTTGTCCTCTCAAAGTAGTGCTAATGCAACAACATAAAACTGAACACCAAGTTCATTGAGGTTAGAGTCTCTACCATCTGTTAATGGTGATACTAACAATGAAATAACCAAAGAGAAGTGGGAATAGGAATAAAAGGTCAACAAGRAAACCCTAGTTAGATCACCATCTTCTGATTTTTTGGTGGTTAGTAATGCTCACAGTAAATGATTACCTTTTCTATTGCTGCTCTAACAAATCTCCACAAACTAAATGGTTTAAACCAACAAATTTATTATCACAACTCTGGGGTCTATAATAAGTCTCACTGGATTAAGATCTCAAGGGCTGCATTCCCTTCTAGAGGCTCAGAGCAGAATCTGGCTCCTTGCTTTTCCCGGCTTTCAGGGTCACCAACTTCAAAGCCAGTAATGTTGGGCCAGGTCCTCATGCTGCATCAATCTTAGCTCCTCTTCTGCTTCTCKGTCTCACTTAAAGACCCCTGTGATTACATTAGGCACACCTAGATAATCCAGGCAAATGTCCCTATTTTAAAATCTGCTGATGAGCAATTTTAATTCTATCTGCTACTTGAATTCTCCTTTCCAATATATCCTAACATATTCATGGGTTCTAGATTAGGATATGGACATCTTAGGAGAAGGAAGGAGGCATTATTCTACTACCACACTTAATATTATTTTAGGTAGAAAATGCAATTATTTGAAAGATGGAAATAGAGACAGTCTTTCACAATTCAAAGGAAWAAAAAGGGCTTAAACTGAGATTTTCCTGAAGTGTAATGCTTAGCATTCTGTGAATATTCAAGTATATTTTATAGAACTTAATGAGTAATAATGTCAATTCCTAGTGCCATGAAAATGTTCGACATCACTATTCATCAGTGCAGGAAATGTTTCCAGGTGGCATTGGACTGACCCATTTCTCCCTACCCCTTCCCTTTTCCTGCATACAGATCTCAGAATAAATACAGAATAACCTGAGAATGCAAAAATCTTGATTTAAGTTTGAACCATAGGAAATAGCCCAGACCTTATTCCTGTTCCTTCTAGGAAATGTAACATCTCAAGTTAAGGAGGTACTGCCGGGACATCCCAGGCCTTAGTCCTCCCAGCAGTGGAAGCAGGATGYCCTTCAGAGCTTTGGCAGTGAGTCATGTTGCCCCTGAGGTATATAACCCAGGGTGCGATACTTTTCAGGGTCTCTCAGCTACAGCACAAGTGTGGTATGCTCAGTGGAGACTTCATCTGTCCTAAGCAACTTTCTCTAGCCATGGGGGACTGGCTTACAATGGATCCAAGACTTCCATTGGCTGCCTATTTGTAGATAATCAACCTGCTTCATGTAACTGGCACATATGAGCGTGTTCAGTCTGTTTTCAGGCAAGTGGTAAAACTGTAGCCTAAGATGCAGTGGGCAGTGTTTAGATGCCTGATCCTGCCGACTGGCATAGTAATGCTGTTTGCTATCCTCAGTGCAGCAGGAATCCTCCCTTGGGATTGGTAATTAGCAAACCTTTTCTACACTCACTAAAATGCAAATTCAAACCACAATTAAATGCCACTGTAGACCCAATGGAAAGGCTAAAACTAAAGACTGTCAATACCACACGTTGGTGAGGATGTAGACCAACTAGAATGCCATGCATTTCTAAAGGGAATGCACTTTGGAATAATTTGGTGGTTTGTCATAAAGTTAAACATTTACTTACCATATGTCCAGCCATTCTACTTTTAGTTATTTACCCAAGGTAATGAAAACATACATCTACACAAATATATGAATGTTCATAGCAGCTTTAAAACAACCCCACTCTGAAAACAATCCAAGTGACTAGCAATCAGTGAATAATCAACAAATGGAAGCACAACAGCAATGGGATACTGCTCACCAAGGAAAAAGAATAAAGCACTGAAACAAGTCACAAGATGAAGACATCTGAAAAGCATCTTTAGTTGTCTATATTTGTCAGAATTCATTGTACACTTAAAATTAGTACATCCTACCTCAGGAGGAATGATTAAAAGAAACAATTATAAAAAGGAAATAAATTTTAGAATAGATATGCATAGRTTAGTAATCTAGAGGATATAGACTACAAAATCTCTCAGAATGAGTATCCAAAAGATAGAAAAATATGAGAGAAAAGTTAAAAAACATGGGAGTTTCTCTTTGAAAGACAAAAAAAAAAAAAAAAAAAACTGTCCAATAGTTCTAAGAGGAGGAATTAGACAAAATGAAGAGGAAGTACAGAATTTTCAGAGGAAATATCCCTGGGATGAAGAAAGACTCAAGTCTTCTAATCACATGGCCTGTATATTGCCAAGCAGGATTAAAAAACATACATTCTCATATAAGCATATCTACATGTATCCCTCTTAAAATTTCTGCAACAAAGTCATAATTAGCTTTCAGGGGAAGGGGAAGCATTATTTTCAAAAGAATCATTTCTTATTTATAGGAAACATCAGAAGTTAAAAACAAACAAAAAAACTAATGTATTCAAAGTTCTGGATGTTACTTAGCATCATTTGCTTAGACAGCTTTTGTTCCATTGCCAAGTTAAAAGTTAAAAGAGAATTCTGGACAGRTTGATATATCAGAGAAACACAAGCCCACCTTCTCTTTTTCCATTCTGTCTCTAAACACATATCATGATAAAGTGTGTTTTTATATATCTTTAATGACTTACATTGCACTGAAAACAAGATAAACATCTCCCCAGACCAGATACAGAATGGAAATACAAAGTCATAAATGAAGGCTGAAGCCACAGACTTACTGACATAGATTTTTATTGCAGTGAGAACATTACAATGCAGAAGAAAAAATGAGGTTAAAGAAAATTTTAGAGATGTTAATGGATATTGAGAACAAAGATGATCGACCGTAGACATTCCTGAATTAAGAAACGAATGAATGAAATAGAGGAAGACTTCAAACGTGTCATACAGAAACTTTCCCCTAAACTGAAGGAAGAACTGAATTTACATGTTGAAAGAGCACTGTTTCACAGGAGAAATTGACCTAGAACTTTCAACACTAAGCCATATCCTGAAGGTTTTGAATTCCAACAACTAAAATTATGTGCAAAAAAAGTCAAGTCTCCCCCAAGTAAGGAGAAGGGAAGAGGAGATCTGGCAGAGACAGATCTCCACAACAATATTCAATGCCAGAAGATGATTAGACAATGACTCTAGAAAGGTCTAGGGAAAAGAAAGCATGGGCCAAAAGTATTACACCCAAATTGCATTGAATTTAAAGGCACAAGACAGATCCCTTTTAATAACTAAAGAACAGAACAGAAAATGTATGAGCTCTTCACATCCAGCTGGACCTGAATCAAAATAAAGAACTTAGTAATGGAGAAACAGTGACACAAAGCCCATGGTAAACACTGAATCTGTCTAAATGAMGCACTAATTATAAACAACTGTGGTAATTACAATTATAGAAGCAAATGCAAATGTTTTAAACCTTGGCAACTTAGAGTAATATAACTAACAAAATTAGAAGGTAGGGAAAGAAGGAAGTGAGAGAAGATAGAAGTCTTCTAATTTCCTTACTTACTATGGCAGGAAGTCAACTAATAAAGTCTAAAATTAGCGCATGTGGTTAAGATAATGACTCTAACCTCTTTTTTTTTTTTTTTTTGGTAACTCTCTGTGGGGAAGGAAACCTTATCAGCAATTTTCATTTTCACTTCCACTTTTTTTTCTTGTGTTAAATTCAATTACATTTATTTTCATTTCAAGTTTCTTCTGGTAAATTGGAATTTATAGTATCATTAAATTAAATACATTCTGCTAAAACATACCATATCATTTTTGG